TACAAACATATAAAGCGTCGATCTACTGAGTAATTCCAACCGCTCGGTGGAAGGTTTTCTCTATAGTCATCCCTAAATAATGATAACAGCAACCTCAAAAAGGTTCGTTCAGCGCGAAATGAAATTAAAAGTTTTTATTTTTGTTATTTTTTATTGCTTAGATGGATGGACGAGCTCACAGCCCACCTGGTGTTAAGTGGTTACGGAAGCCCATAGACATCTAGGACGTAAATGCGCCACCCACCTTGAGATATAAGTTCTAAGGTCTCAGTATAGTTACAACAGCTACCCCACCCTTCAATCCGAAACGCATTACTACTTCACGGCAGAAAAAGGCGGGGTGGTGGTACCTACCCGTGCGGACTCACAAGAGGTTCTACCACCAGTGAAAAGATCATCCTCATCATCCTCTAGTGCCCATAACACAGGGAATCCTAAATTATTATAGTTGACGTGGTTAGCACAATATTCTACTGTTGACGAATGATAACTAAGACGTCCATCCGAAACGCCAAAAAAATGTAATGACAATTTAAAATAACGCGAGTTTAAGCGATAAAAGAAGTTTTAATCTGATATCTAAGACACGCGCATCCCAAGAAGATACTGTTGACAGATTTGAGCGGATTGTTTGATCACATGATCGTGGTAAGAGACGACACGTGCCAACTTCTTCAAAAACAAAAAAATAATAATACATTTTATGAACGTGCCGTTTTTTTTTATTGCTTAGATGTGTGGACGAGCTCACAGCCCACCTGGTGTTAAGTGGTTACTGGAGCCCATAGACATCTACAAGGTAAATACGCCAGCCATCTTGAGATATAAGTTCTAAGGTCTGAGTATAGTTACAACGGCTGCCCCACCCTTCAAACCGAAACGCATTACTGCTTCACGGCAGAAATAGGTAGGGTGGTGGTACCTTGCCCGGCGGACTCACAAGAGGTCCTACCACCAGTAATTACGCAAATTATAATTTTGCGTGTTTTTGAGTTTTATTACACGACTAGCTTTTGCCCGCGACTTCGTCCGCGTGGAATTGTTCACAAAAAAAATCTATAGTGGGCCAACCTTAACATATAGACATCTGCTGTCGCGGACTTTTTTTTAAATCTTTTAAAGGGGAACAATTCTGTCATACATTATTTTAGCGAAACTTTAACCGTTTCTGCAGCGCACGCAGCGGAAGCTCTCTAAAGGGAAAAAAACCCCGATTTTGAAACATTATTTATTCGTGTTCCGCTTGCATTGGTCTTAGCGTGATGTTATATACCTATAATAATATATATAAGCCTTATAGCCTTCCTCAATAAATGAGCTATCTGACACTGAAACAATATTTCAAATCGGACCAGTACTTCCTGAGATTAGCGCGTTCAAACAAACAAACTCTTCAGCTTTATAATATTAGTATAGATTTGTATAAATAATTAATTATCGCAATGACCACAAAAACTTAATTCAAATGTGGGAGATCGTGAAATTAAATGATTCCCACGAAAAATTAAAACGTGTTTTTTGTATTCAAAATATCGAATTAAGTATTTTTTGCGTTTGAAGCTATAAATGGTGATAGGGCGTGTGATGGAAAAGCTGTTGTCTGATTGAGACTTCGAACTCATATCTGAAGTTGGCATTTACGTTGTGATGTCTGTGGACCACAGTAAACGCTTGACATAAACGCACCACTAGTTAAATAAGAAACAGATATTTTTTTACCATTATTATTATTATTATTATTACGCGCTGGGGTTCGGGATGAATAAAACTTTCTCCGACGTACGAATTAAAACTCTATTGAAAGCTTGGAACACTCAAAGAGCACCTTACAGTCCGTAATTCACTTCTTCCGCTTCACTTCGCTTCGATTAGTTCCGATCACTAACTGCCTTCGTGTCATCTCTGCAAGGCTTTTAAAGTCGATACGACATTCCTAGAATTATCGAGAACATTCTCTATAAGACCAGTCGTTTCGATATGTGTTTCTGTTATTTGAGAATAAATGGCGTTGCATTTCTTAAGCGTTCTCGATTTTACTAGTTCTTTTGATAATCGTTTCTGCTATTCGATGATAGATGGCGTTATTCTTACCCGCGTAGCACTATTATCACCAAGAAAGAAGTGATTTAAATGTCTTTAACTATGTCATTGCTACCAGACTGTCGACCGTGAATCCTGAATTGCCCCCGCGAATGCTGTCCAAAGCGATTCTAAAAGTATCTGTATTTGCATTTGCAAAATAACGCGTTCTCATATTATTATGATTTTCCAAAAAAAATTACGAATTGTCGTCGAAGTTCGTCTTTTGTTTTCTTTAGCAAGCAGTATAGATCAACTTTTACACACGTGTATATATTGACATATATAGTATATTGTATATAGTGGACGCTCAGTGATATAAAATTTAAACATAATTTTATTAATATCCTTCTTTATTATTATTGCTTAGATGGGTGGACGAGCTCACAGCCCACCTGGTGTTAAGTGGTTACTGGAGCCCATAGACATCTACAACGTAAATGCGCCACCCACCTTGAGATATTAGTTCTAAGGTCTCAATATAGTTACAACGGCTGCCCCACCCTTCAAACCGAAACGCATTACTGCTTCACGGCAGAAATAGGCAGGGCGGTGGTACCTAGCCTGGTATGGTCCTACCACCAGTAAGATACTTTTCAATTTCTAACAACAAATTTTTGCTGTAAGAAATTCGTTGGCAGTCCTACACGGAAACAATCGATTCATATTGAAACAGAAATCGATAGTATTGCGCGAGTAGTAGTGTGGGCGTGACGAGAAAATTAATTAATAATAGCCCACTNGGCAGAAATAGGCAGGGCGGTGGTACCTAGCCTGGTATGGTCCTACCACCAGTAAGATACTTTTCAATTTCTAACAACAAATTTTTGCTGTAAGAAATTCGTTGGCAGTCCTACACGGAAACAATCGATTCATATTGAAACAGAAATCGATAGTATTGCGCGAGTAGTAGTGTGGGCGTGACGAGAAAATTAATTAATAATAGCCCACTAAGTTTCTCGCCGGATCTTCTCAGTGGGTCGCGTTTCCGATCCGGTGGTAGATTCCGCGAAGTAATGCTCTTGCTAGGATTCGTGCTAGCAACGTGGTCAGGTTTGAGCCCCGCGAGCTCACCTACTAGTTAGGATTACGCTGAAATGGCTTCTCAAGGCCATTCGCTTAGGAAAAAACAAATCGAATAATATGACATTAATAATCAAAACGGAAAAATCTTTATTTAGAATTTAACTAGCACTCCGACTAACGATTAATTTGGCGGTCCCTGTGAAAGGTAATTCAAAACGTGTCGGGTGTTGTAAAATGCTTTTTAAGATAGAAACGATTTATCGATCCGTAGCATTGTTTTAAAGGTCTTCCAACACGGACACGTCTTCGCCTATCAATTCAAGACATATTTGTTTTAACATTTTTTGAAGTGAAACTTCTTTATGCGCATAAGGGTAAAATTTTTACAGAACGTCACGCAGGTATGCAACGGAAGTGACATCAAACTACTATTGAAATTAAGTACCTACTTGTCAAATGTCAGTAGTAGTAGTTGTTGTATTTTTCCAAATGGAAAGGCAAATGTATCATACCATACAGCCTAATATTTTATAATTTTTTTGTGAAAAATGTTAATAGGATTTGAAATGAAATGAAAAGAATTTGGAACATCAATCAAATAGCATGAAATTAAATTAGTTAATTCAATTGGCAAAATATTAGTCATTTACAATTTAGAAATCTAAACATAATGTGACTGTCAACACTGAGGTTTGAGATTGACATTTGACAGACTTTTGGCGGGAACATATCTTCCTTTTTCCCTTCCTCTAAGTCTCGGAAATTTAAAGTTTTAGACTGTATAAATATAAGCAAGACTTATAAATTAGTTCGCCAAAAAAGTTTCACTTCTGACATGTGTACGCACGCACTTTTTTTTTTATTGCCCGTTTAGGCCTAGGTCCACCTGATGGTGAGTGATTACTGTCGCTTGACTTCGATAATACCAGGGGTAGAGCCAAGCAGCTACCTACCTTTAAGTACTCTTCAAAACGCTATTACTTCCCAGTTTTTTTGATTTTCACATTTCAAGAGTACATGATACTTCTTGCGAGTAGACGAGTAGACGGTAGACGGATCGCGGGTAGACTAAAGACTGCAAGATATTATGAGCCTGCATATCTGTCTACCCTCATTTTAGTCCGTTAGTGATATCACTGGACATCGCTACCTTCACGCAAAACTTGGAGTGTCGACAGTTTCTCAACGAGCACATCGCTATTCGCTAAGCTGCAAGCTATAACATAGGTTGAATTTATTTTTTGTTAACCGAAGAGACTGAATTACGGACCACCCGATGTTAAACAGATTTCGGGGCTGGAGTAGAGTTCTCCATTGTTCTTAATCCTGTTGATCCTACCAGGATATTAGTCAGAAGCAATAACATAATTGTATTAACGTCGGTCGGCAAATTTTTTATTTATAGCCCAGATGGAAGGTCTGGTTCATGGTTCACATTTCTTTTAGTGGTTAACGGAGTCCATAGATACCTACGACGTAAATGCCACCACTACCAATACACCTTGAGACATGAGTTCTAAAATCTCATTTTTCACAGCACAACGGCTGCCCTGCTCTTCAAACCGAAACGCATTACTGCTTCACGGCAGAAACAGGCAGGGCGGTGGTACCTACCCATGCGGACCCACAAGACGTTTTACCACCAGTAATTAAGCAAATAAAATTTTTTCGTGTTTCATTTTTATTACACGACGTGATTCCTTCACCGTGGAAGGCCATTGTGTACAATTGTCAAGTACGTATTTCATTAGAAAAATTGGTACCTTCCTGCGGGATTCGAACACCGGTGTATCGCTTGATACGATTGCACCGGGCGACTTATCCTTAGACATAAAATAGTTCAAGCGAAATGAAAGCGTTCAAATAATTACGTTTCTTGTGTGTTTGTTCTACAGGAGACAAAATGGAAAACACGAAATCACCAAGCGAAGCGCCAATAAAGAAAACCGGGTCACGACTGAACGAGCGCGCACCCCGCATCACGCTGCAGCATTTAGACAAACTCGGCCATGGTCTGGAGAAAGTCGGCCATCTCGTTGGCCAAACGTTGGACCAGCGTTCCGTGCTGGATCGGATTACCTTTGAAACGGAGAGGCTGAGTCACAGCGAAGCGTCGTCGAGACGTAACAGCGACGATGGAGGCAGATCCAACAAGGAAAGTCTTAGGGCAGGTTTGTGCTTTGTTAGTCTTGTTCTAGTATCGACAGCAGGAATCGCCTACCCTGCTCTAGTTCTAACCTGGAGATCGGACGTCAGATGATAGTGTGTAAGGTAATTCACTTGGTGGGTAGGACGCGAAAATATCCTTAAGCCCACAGTACCCTCGCAACATTTGCCGACCCTTAAGACCCACATACCCCAACACTGTCTCTTCCTTTGGATGTCGTCAAAGTCGACTAAGAGACTCGCCAGAATATGGGCATCAGTGTTCTCTGAATATTACTCCACCATACGGCAATCACCAAACGGCGTTTACTGGCCATTACGTACCCAAATTCACCGCACGGGTTGGCGGTACCTTATATATGTCGTTAGGAGTACCAGTTTGAACGAGGAGACAACAAGTATAAAAGGTTTAATTATTTCACCACGGAAGTCGTTTGTGAACTATTGTTAAGTTTGGCTTGAAACACATTGCGTTAGAACAATGTGTGCCAGTCTGCGGGGTCCTAACACTGGTATAGCTGCCTCTCTCAATGCGAGTTAACCGACCGTTTTTGTATAAGATAAGTGTATTTTCCTACCTATTCTAGTGACCTCGAGGGGTCATACTATATTCATTGAAGGAGTAGGTAAGCTCACTTGGCTCTAACCTGGCGAATTTGCTAACACCAGCCCTAACAAGAGCAATGCTTCGCTGAATCCACTACCGGATCGGAAACGCGACTCACCGAGAAGATCCTGCGAGAAACTTAGTTAATTATATGTGAGGGGATATTTTTATCCGAAACAAATAACTCAATTACACAATAAGATCATTTCGCTTCCGTGCGCAATAATATAATCCAATTCTTTGAAGATTTATAACTATGTCAATGAACGTCTACATTGTGAAACTATCACACACGTCACATTTATTTTGAAGGACCCCTATAACGAATCAAGGTAGATGATGTGTTATTCTAATTAAATATCTGGGTCGTCTTACCATAATTGAAGGGTACGGTATTTAGCTAGTAATTAAGTTTGACAATAATAAAATTATATTTAATGATCGCGTAGTGGTTTTTAAATATGAACTGGTTTTCAATACGGATATTTTATATTTCTTCAATTATTCGCGAGCCGTTATTAAAACTACTTTTACGGTTCGATATCGAGTTTATTGAGTGTTAATAAATAATATTACTAATTCGTAAGTAATAATGATTTACTAATGAATGCGTCGTCCATGAACCCGCCCACCCGCCATGACTGGTGGTAGGACCTCTTGTGAGTCCGCACGGGTAGGTACCACCACCCGCCTATTTCTGCCGTGAAGCAGTAATGCGTTTCGGTTTGAAGGGTGGGGCAGCCGTTGTAACTATACTGAGACCTTAGAACTTATATCTCAAGGTGGGTGGCGGATTTGCGTTGTAGATGTCTATGGGCTCCAGTAACCACTTAACACCAGGTTAGCAATAAAAAAAAATAAAAAAGCTCGCGAACTGGAAAGTAATCGTTACGTCCGAAATCATGAAATGAGAAAAACAGTTTTAGCTTTTAGTAAAATCTGGAAAAACCTGTTACATAATAATAATGAGTGGGAACAAATAGCGCACGGCCCCAAATTACGATTCTCTGTGCTATGAGTATCACTACATATACGTTTAAATATATACATTAATAGACAGGGCCGGATTTAAACTTAAAGCCGCTCCCAGGCACCGGAAAATAATCCGCGCCAATACTGGAATTTTACATATAGCCCGAGAGCCCGTGGGCGAATACCTGTATGTATTTGACCAGACCTGAATTTTTTAAGTGAAAACTTCTTTAGAATCGTTGTGATTTCAAACCGGATGCAACGGAAAAAACGACAGGTAAGAGACACAAATACAAAAATGTGTAGGATGAAGCCAGCAAAGAATGAGACAGAAATATACATACTATTTAATACAGCGCCATCTGTGAGATTTTTTAATACTAACGTGTGTATGAAAGCTCTTGTAGTGAATTTTNGCCGGTCGTTCTAACAGATCTAATTCTCCGAAATATTAGTTAAATGTGGTCGTTTTATGAGGTATGTCGTTATAAGCAATGTCGTATAAAGCAATGTTTTTAATAAGGCGGTCATATGGCATTCAGCCGGGACCTTTGTTCTAGGTTGTTATAACCGGCATGTTGTTCTAAACGATGTCGCAGTAAACGGTTTTGACTGTAGTTGGTAAATTTGACAAGATCATTTCGCTTCCTTGCGCAATAATATAATCCAATTATTTGAAGATTTATAACTATGTCAATGAACGTCTACATTGTGAAACTATCACACACGTCACATTTATTTTGAAGGACCCCTACAACGAATCAAGGTAGATGATATGTTATTCTAATTAAATATCTGGGTCGTCTTACCATAATTGAAGGGCACGGTATTTAGCTAGTAATTAAGTTTGACAATAATAAAATTATATTTAATGATCGCGTAGTGGTTTTAAATATCTATTAATTAACTGGTTTCAATACGGATATTTTATATTTCTTCGTGTATTCGTGTATTTGATATCGGGTTTATTTAATGTTAATAAATAATATTACTAATACGTAAGTAATAATGGTTTAATAATGAAAACGTCGTCCATGAATCCGCCCACCCGCCATGACTGGTGGTAGGACCTCTTGTGAGTCCGCACGGGTAGGTACCACCACCCCGCCTATTTCTGCCGTGAAGCAGTAATGCGTTTCGGTTTGAAGGGTGGGGCAGCCGTTGTAACTATACTGAGACCTTAGAACTTATATCTCAAGGTGGGTGGCGGATTTGCGTTGTAATGTCTATGGGCTCCAGTAACCACTTAACACCAGGTTAGCAATAAAAAAAAAAAAAAAAAAAAAAAAAGCTCGCGAACTGGAAAGTAATCGTTACGTCCGAAATCATGAAATGAGAAAAACAGCTTTAGCTTTTAGTAAAATCTGGAAAAACCTGTTACATAATAATAATGAGTGGGAACAAATAGCGCACGGCCCCAAATTACGATTCTCTGTGCTATGAGTATCACTACATATACGTTTAAATATATACATTAATAGACAGGGCCGAATTTAAACTTAAAGCCGCTCCCAGGCACCGGAAAAAGATCCGCGCCAATACTGGAATTTTACTGATAGCCCGAGAGCCCGTGGGCGAATACCTGTATGTATTTGACCAGACTTGAATTTTTGTACATTGAGAACCCTATACCTACCGTGCACGAGGTGGACACTCACTAAGCTCAAAGTGGTCGACGAGCCGAGCGCTCAGGTAGGACAGGTATCGATTTTTGACGGATTTTAAATCCATATGACCACGTCTGCCGTTTTGAAATTTAAAAAATATATGATTATTATTATCGAAGAATAAGAATGGCAGACCATTATCGCACGTTTTACTTTGTGGCAGACGATTTTGAAAATGCAAAAAAAAAAAATTTTTTGAAAGTAATTGACCAGATCTGCCATTGATATAGTTGTTTATTATAGTCTTAAAAACTTATATTGATCACGGCAGACGTCTGCATTGCGTACACACATATTATTGATTTCTCCATTATTTACTTAATGGATGTTATTATACATATAAACATCCCTCTTTAATCACTCTATCTATTAAAAAAACCGCATCAAAATCCGTTGCGTAGTTTTAAAGATTTAAGCATACATAAGGATAGACAGATATTGGGACAGAGAAAGCGACTTTTTTTATATTATGTAGTGATAATATATACTATTGCTCAAAATTAAAATATGTAACATATTGCAGAAACTATAAATTATATTGTTGAGTGTCTATATCGGGCAAGGGTTAATAAGACACGTGTTCAGTTAAGTGGCTAAAGTATATTGGGATTACAACCTAACGTGCTATCGACAATCGACAATTCCGAGACTGACGTAGCATCATTGCAATATAATTATCGCTCATCCATATATATTAATAGTTGCTATGGTGACATTTGTAGTCAAGTATTTACTGGTGGTAGGACCTCTTGTGAGTCCGCACGGGTAGGCACCACCACCCCGCCTATTTCTGCCGTCCGTGAAGCAGTAATGCGTTTCGGTTTGAAGGGTGGGGCAGCCGTTGTAACTATACTGAGACCTTAGAACTTATATCTCAAGGTGGGTGGCGCATTTGCATTGTAGATGTCTATGGGCTCCAGTAACCCTTAACACCAGGTGGGCTGTGAGCTCGTCCAACCATCTAAGCAATAAATAAATAAAAAGTACAAGATGTTATTATATTATTATATTCCATAAACATAAATAAATATTTGTTTTTTTTTCTAACTTTCAAAAATTTTGCGCCCTAACAAATTTGCCGCCGTGGGCACTTGCCCCGACTGCCCCTAGTGTAAATCCACCACTGTAAATAGATAATGAACACCCAGACGAAGGGCAAATAAACTCATCCAGCGGACTCCCGTGAGCCTTTCCACTTAGCATCATATATTACCCAATCACAGCAGACAATAAATTATAAATAAAAATGAATTGCTGTTCGTTAGTCTCGCTAAAACTCGAGAACGGCTGGACCGATTTGTCTTATTTTGGTCCTGAATTATTCGTGGAAGTCCAGAGAAGGTTTAAAAGGTATAACAATTTTGTTTTCCCTTTGATGTGTCCCCCGTCGGACGGATTCCTTTTGTTTGTTTTAAGTTTATTTTATACAAAAGTTTAGGTATTTTATTTATCGATTGAGGCACTGCGAAGTCTGCCGGGTCAGCTAGTAAATTATAAATCTAATTTAACTTCACGAGCTAAGAAAATTTTACAATAAATCGGAAATTTTAATACGCTTTTATTAGCTTCAGACGTATGTTTGTTTGTAACAGAATCTTTGAACATGATTTTGACCCCCTTCAAAACGTCGGATTAACTCGAAATTTGGTGTACTTATTAAGTACCGATGACAACTCAATATAAAAAAAATATTGAAAAAATTGAAATTCGCCAAAAAAATTAAAAATAAGTAATAGTTTAAAAAAACTAACAAAATACGCTTTTATAGAAAATCCAAATAAAAAATAGAAAATAAATTTTAATAAATTTGAATTAAAAATAGTGTAAGAAAAAATGATCTTATTGTAAAAAAGCTTGGGGTGCTTTTCAGGATATTTCTAAAATAACCCTTCTACTCATATCTGTTCATAAAATATTTATAACTACTGATACCATGCACCCCATGCTTTTTTTTACAATAAAATCATTTTTTCTTACACTATTTTTAATTCAAATTTATTTTCTTATATTTTTTGGTTGGATTTTGTATAAAAGCGTATTTTGTTAATTTTTTTAAACTATTATTTATTTTATTCAATCTCCATTGCGCCGTGTTACAGACGGCACTAACTCGGAGCCTCCCACGGCCAACGTGACCAATCAGAACGCGTGGAATGACCTCGCCAGCTCCACGTCTACGACCAGAACTGAATTGAGTTTATCAGACAGCGCAATGGACGAGGTAATATTTTTTTTTATTGCCCTTGTAGGCAGAACATTATACGGCCCGCCTGATGGTGAGGGGCTACCGTCGCTCATGGACTTCAGCAATACCAGGAGCAGAGCCAAGCTGCTGCCTACCGCTTAATACTCTCCACAAGCCTCGCTTGAAGAAGGACATGTCATGGCGCTCGGGAAACACATTCTTTCAATTAACCCTACTATCACTAAAGCCTTTTTATTTTTATGAATGATTAGTCATTACTGGTGGCCCAGAGGCCTTTCCAGTTTCACCAGGGCAGGTGGGCAAGCAAACGCGCAGCCATGAGGAGAGGGCTTTGCTAACAGCTGCCCGAGCGCCTCCAAAGGAGACCTAACAACTCAAGAGCAAACAGCTTCATGAATGAATCTATTACCAGATCGTAATCGCGATCAGCTAAGAAGATTCGGCGAGAAACTCAGCGGGCTTATGCATGGGTTAGGTTGCACGTCGAACTCTTTGCCGATTTCCACTAGTACGGTTACCGGGGTCCCTAAACCTGCCCCTAGTGTTAGAGCTGAAGGCGTCTAATACAAGGGTCGTTGGATCTGATGGATCCATTAGAATGTGTTAAATAATCTATGCTCGTGTGATTGTGTGTGACCTAGAACAGTTTTTCTGTAGATGAATAAAAGATCTCACCTGTTTTGTATAATGCGAAGCGCATATAGAGACATATCAATATCGAAGTCTAAATTATAATTACAATTAAACAGATTTTGATCTCACGGTGGTATCTATCCATGTGAAGACAGCACAGCCTTATACAGCACCCTCATTCCTTCACGTGGACGACTTGAGGCTATTTAGGGATTCAACAGACAGTGGACAGCAATGCTCTCTTTGTACCATACCGCATTTTCAAGCGGCATTTACTTTGGTAGTAGTTTACTAACTAGTAGTAACTACTACTACTACCATTCCTCCGAATTTTGTTTGTTAAACAATACAATTCAGAATTCAAGCTCAACCCTCAAGGGAGTATTCACTTTATGATCTCTATTAACTCTAATTTTTATTCGATTCACCCTTGACATATGTCGTGAGCGCTATGTGGCCTTAAACTTGACGCGTCTTACGATGCCCTACGGATCCGTTCCTGCTCGATCCTGCTGCACTCGTTTAAGGAATCTTCCACTTTACTCCTGGTTCCAATTACTGTATTTTATTAACAGTGTGTACAAAAAAATAAAGAATAAAGAAAGATCCAAGAAACTCCAAGCATTCTTTCATCTTGGTCTCAAATAACCACTTTACACTATCCATCTAAGCAATACCTATATAAAACTCGATTCGGTATACAGGCTTCAGATCCTCGCCGTAGGAGCCACGAGTCGGCCCTACCAGGTACTCCGATGCACGCCAGAACAATGTGGAAATCAACTGACTCGCTCGCCCCGGAGTCGGCGTTTGGAACCTCTCTAGCGGACATCATGGAAAGCCCTGCTAACAAGGTCAGCGCATATTGGTCTTATTTGTCGAGGGTTTTGTGGATGTGTGTGAAAAATTTGTGTGGTCTTATATAGACTTCGAGAAGCGGACCACCTGCCACTTTTCCGTGACGAGTATACACGTCAAACTTAATTGACTGGTTAAAATCCTGGCACTTATCCGTGACGAGTATATACTTCAAACTTGATTGACTGGTTCAAATCCTGGCACTTCTCCGTGTCGTGTATACGCTCTTCTTTGTCTCCACTTTATCCCACTAGGTAGCTAATTTTTCTCTTCCATTCTCTTCTATCAGCCGTCATCTCAACACTCACTCCTCTCTCTCGCATTGTCATTCACACACTCCATCCATGTCATTCTTCGGTCGACCTCTTTCCCCTCTACCTTGCACTACCATTGCCATACATCTCCTAGTCACATGCATCTTCTCTACGCATCACATGTCCGTACCACGCTAACCATTCGCTCTTTATTTTGTTGCTTACCGGGGCTACTTTCACACTTCCTCTCGTGTCGTCATGTATACACGTCAAACTTAATTGACTGGTTAAAATCCTGGCACTTATCCGTGACGAGTATACACGTCAAAACTTTAATTGACTGCTTAAAATCCTGGCACTTCTCCGTGTCGAGTATATACATCAAACTTAATCGACTAGTTAAAATCGTTCATAGCCTAAATATTGCTTGGGTGAATAATTCTGTTATTAGTGTAGTACCATTTTCGTGTGATTTGAAGTATCATTTCCCCTACTTTACACAACATATGTTTTACAGAGCATACCCATTGAAACGGAAGATAATAAGGTACATGTCTGTTTGTGAACGTCCCCTTCTACTATATGCTCTTCCTGTATCTATATATCTGTGTAACGGAATCTTTGAACGCGTTTGACAGACTTCAAGACGTCCTTAACTAAATAGTTTGCAAACGCGCCAAGGACTGATGTCGATATAATATCCCTGTTATATCGACATCACTAATAGAATAGTATTCTAAGTTTACCATTTTTTTTAATTGCACTTTTTTTTTTATTGTGTTGACGAACTCACAGCCCACCTGGTGGTAAATGGCTACCGTAGTCCATAGACATCTACAACGTAAATGCAGTCACCCACCTTGAGACATGAGTTTTTTTTTTTATTGCTTAGGTGGATGGACGAGCTCACAGCCCACCTGATGTTAAGTGGTTACTGGACCCCATAGACATCTACAACGTAAATGCGCCACCCATCTTGAGATACATATATAAGTTGTAAGGTCTCAGTATAGTTACAACGGCTACCCTACCCTTCGAACCGAAACGCATTACTGCTTCACGGCAGAAATAGGCAGGGCGGTGGTACCTACCCGCGCGGACTCACAACAGGTCCTACCACCAGTAATTACGCAAATTATAATTTTGCGGGTTTCACTTTTATTACACGATGTTATTCCTTCACCGTGGAAGTCAATCGTGAACATTTGTTGAGTACGTATTTCATTAGAAAAATTGGTACCCGCCTGCGGGATCGAACACCGGTGCATCGCTTCAACACGAATGCACCGAACGTCTTATCTTTTAGGCCACGACGACCTCAACTTGAGTTTTAAGGTCTCAGTATAGTTATAACGGCTTGACCATAGGCAAGGTGGTGGTACCTCGTGCGGACTCACAAGAGGTCCTACTACCAGTGTCACTATCAGAATGCAGTGATTAGTTTAAGTTATGGTTCAGTTTGGTATAATAGCGTGTTTTTATACGACAGCCTTGCGAAGGATGGCGGTTTTTATCCGAACGTAAAAGTATTTGGATGCGTGGGCGCTTGCCTAATCCACGCGTCACTAATTAAGCCTTTCGTTTGATTTCAAGTGAATCTAAGGTTTTGAAGTTGATGAAACTTACGCTACAATTCGGTTATTGTAGAGTAGTTACCGAGGGAACTTGTGCTCGTGTCGCCGGCGGCCGCCGATTCGGCGTCTTTGGGACGGCGGGATGGATGTAATGTGCTCTGCGTCAACCCTGTCCCGCCATCTCAATAGCCCTAACTGGGCTTCGGCCCGGTCCGAGGTAGGGCGCCAGTTGTGAGCGGCAGGAATTTTTAGTGAGGTTCAACTCCCACATACCCCACCTGCCGCGCGGGTGGGGTACCGGAGATTGTCTCCTGTGAAAAAAAAAATGGTAGAGTAGTTAGATACAGCTCAAAGTTATGAGTTTATTAAAAAAATGAAGGGTCGTGAAGTACTGCGAAATTTTAGTATAGGCGCTAACTAGACCCGCAGGGAACAATAACGAGAATCAAACAGTACCGTCCCGACAGATCCACCTCCGAGAAGACATCAGATCCATCCATTCGGACAGCTCCGACGAAAGGAAGCCGCGCGGATGGCGCTACGTCAGAAACCTCACTTCGGCAGCGGGGGGGCTCGTTAATAAGACCAAGGACGCTGCTGCTTTGCCCGGTACACCCTTGCCCAGTTTCCAGGTGCGAAATTCTGATTTGAACCTTCATAACCACATTTTAGGCACTATTTACTAACTGGTTCCTTATACTACTCTACTCGTCGAACTCGGCAAAGAGCACGACGTGCAATCTAATCTATACATCAGCCCGCTGAGTTTCTCGACGGATAAACTCAGCGAGTCGCGAATCCGAATCGCATTCGCGAAGCAGCTGCTCTTGAGTTGTTAGATCTCCTTCGGAGGCGCTCGGGCAGCTGTTAGCAAATCCCACCACGCTTGGCTGAGTCTATGCTCGCTAACCTGTCCTGGTGAAACTGGCCTCCGGGCCACCAGTAATATTTCTTTCATACGATGCTTAGTTTTAATCAGGTGCCGGTATTCCGACGTTGTGAGAGAAATCTGTCTATCCTCTTTCATTCTTAGGCTATTTTTGACGTTGCCACTGGATACAACGTTATGTAGGGCAGAGTAAATGTAAATGAAAAAGTGTCTATGGCTTAAAGATCGTACATTCATATCGTACCACTTGACAGGGCGGGCCAGCCTTGCTGTTATATTCATAAGACTTTAGCCTCATGACTCAATGTGGCTCCGGTGATCGGAAACGCGACCCGCTGAGAAAATCCGGCGAGAAACTCAGCGAGCTGATTCATGGGTTAGGTTGCACGGCGAGCTCTTGGTCGAGTTCGACGAGTACGGTTACCGGGGTCCCTAAGGCTGCTCATAGTGTTAGAGCTGAAGGCGTCTAATGCAAAGGTTAGCAACTTCATGTGACGTCTTGAAGCCAGTGAAAATTACGTTCAAAGATTCCGTTACTCAGATATATAGTTACAGGACGAGCCAATAAAAACATTTTAAAAGACACCGCTAACATTTTTTTTCTTTTTATTGCCGTATAGGCAGACTATCATACAACCCACCTGATTGTGAGTGGTTACCGTCACTCATGGACGTCAGCAATGCCAGGGACAGAGCCAAGCTGCTGACTACCGTTGATTAAATTATTTCTTCACGTCTCAGTCCAAGCCGGAGGACCAGGCCCCGGAGAGCCCGAACAAACCTGACAGGAAGCAGTCGTTCCCGAAAAATCCGAAGGAAAAAGACGAAAGCCTTGGCGAAACAAACCCTGAAGTGAGTATTGGAATGATTATGGGTTATACGTACAAATAGCGCATTGAATCTCGAACATGAAGGTAGTTCTAGTGATTCCAACTACAACACTAAAAGACTAGGAATGACCCAAACTCATACTTGGGTTGTGCGCTGTCGGCTTAGCACAGCGACCCCATCTCGTGCGTGTCTTAAGTCGACTAGTGAATGGAGAATTAGCAACAGTGCTCTTTGAGAATTACGATAGCGTTATTGAATGCAAATTAAAATGGTTAATTTCAAAAACACAGTCCATGTCCAGATCTGCGTCCGCGTATCTCGTTCTCTGTATTACTCATGGATATTTCTAATAACACGGTAGACAATTATGATGTAAGATCCGCTTTTTAATACAATGTTTACCACCGTAACTGCGAAATAAGGTTGAGTAAGCCTCTCCCTCCCTCACCTGCCTCGCGGTTCGCTAACAAGAGCCTAGACTTGGTTTAGGAAAGAGATGAATATATATTTAAGAGGTCCTATTTGTAGGTATACGACAAAGGGAAGATCTTCCATCGAGCGGGTATTATTGCTCTAGACCGTTTCCTTATCTTGAAAATGTCGTAAGCGAGATTCAGGCATCTGTCAAATATCTTGTATTTTTTTTTATTGCAGCCCACCTGGTGTTAAGTGATTACTGGAGCTCATAGACATCTACACCGTAAATGCATCACCCACCTTGAGATATGAGTTCTAAGGTCTCAGTATAGTTACAACGGCTACCCACCCTTCGAACCGAAGCGCATTACTGCTTCACGGCAGAAATAGACAGGGCGGTGGTACCTACCCGTGCGGACTCACAAGAGGTCCTACCACCAGTATTCTGTAATTTCTACCACCATACTATACCACACATTAACAACGAACGCTCAATTGAAAACGTGATACATAGTCTTAGACACCGTCGTGCCCTAAAGGATAAGACGTCCGGTGCATCCGTATCAAGCAATTTTTCTAATATAATAAGTACTCAATTGTTTCCAGGGCTTAGAACCCGAGTCTTTGATGTTTCGCGACGGCAGACGACGAATAGACATGGTTTTAGCGTACGAGGAGGAAGACTACGGGGTTATGACGGAAGCTGAGGCGAAGAAACGAGATTACAGAAGAACATTCCATGTAATGTATTTGCTAGGCCAAAAGGCGGTACCTGTCTTTCGAAGCGGTACCTGCTTCGTGGTTGCATTAGACGGTCGGGATGAGGGTAATGTAAGGATCTAATGTAAGGACATTACCCTTATCCCGAGTCATTAGGTCCGATGTTTTGTCTGCTTCAAAATTCAATCTAACACCACTATAGTGAGGTGTAATGTAAGGTGATGTTCTAAAAATGCTTGGATGGACTGTGCGAAAGAGATAGATGTAGAGAGAGATGACGCATGGTGATGACCTGTATGGAAAATGGAAAGAAACTACAAAAGGGAACATGCCTCGCTGACTCCACATAGTAGGATAAAGACAAGAAGAAGAAGTTTTAGAGTAGAGAGAGCGAGAGAGAGAGAGAGAGAGAGAGAGAGAGAGAGAGAGAGAGAGAGAGAAAGAAGAATAGCAAAGTGCGCATTTTACTCCTCTTACCATTGAACAGCATATATTAGCATCATCTAATAATTTAATAAAATATAAAATAATCAACTGATCATTACCTATTTCTACTGGTGATATAATTACGACAACCCGGTCCATTTTTGCCTCGAAGCAGTAATCTGTTCCCAGTTTAAAGGTCAAGCCGTTGTTATATATGTAGAACTGTGATTTAGAACTCGTGTCGCAAATGTGAATGGCTCTGGCAGCCATTTAATACCAGGTGGACCATTCAATCGTCCTTATCCAATAAAATAATGCCGGTTTTCTGTTCTTCTGAGAACTTCGTAAACTCAGTCAATCAGTTCAATCTACCAGTCGCAAGTGCCATTCCCACATCTCCGACTGTAATCGAAGAAATTTTACAGGAAAATTTGATTAAGGAAGGCTTAGAACTGGAGTTGGAGAACAAATGCCTGTCTTTTGACGAGAAGACCTGGTTCTTGAAGATCCACATACCGTGGAAGACCGAGATGAGACTGGCCGAGGTTATTGGCATGAAGCTACCGACTAAGAGGTTCATATCAATATCTGTCCGAGCTTGGGTGAGTTTGTCCTTATATAGAAGTCAGTCATCAGTTTGGTACAGAGGCTGTGCCACTTCACAAACCAGAACGCAGAATGGCTTAGCGGCTGAAATAGACAGAACGGTGGCTCCGACTCACCCATCAACATTTGGTCTATATTAATTGGTTACATCAAAACCGGACCATCAATAGACCCGATCAGAAATAAACAAAGATAAACCCAAGCAATCGTATCTTTGTAAATACAATCCATCCATATCCATATTATCTTTCGTTAGAGCGACGAGAAGCAAGTAGAGAGAGACAAAAGATGGTATTCAAAATGGCGTCGGATATGGAAGCAGATTTATGAGTACGAGCACAGTAGGATCGAGCTTGAACCTTCCTTCTACGCGGCCACAGAAAACAAAGGCGTTAGGAGAGAAGAACAGTATGTATGAACGTTTCCCACCTTAAGCTAGTAACCTGGAGAGGCTATGGTAGCTTCGCCAAACGTGGTGGTAAGACTACTTGTGAGTCCGCACGGGTAGGTACCACCGCCTTGCCTATTTTTGCCGTGAAGCAGTAATGCGTTTCGGCTTGAAGGGTGGGGCAGCCGTTGTAACTATACTTGAAACCTTAGAACTTATATCTCAAGGTGGGTGGCGCATTTACGTTGTAGATGTCTATGGGCTTCAGTAACCACTTAACACCAGGTGGGCTGTGAGCTCGTCCACCCAAATAAGAAATATATAAAAAAAAACGTGTAGGTAAGTTCAACGGAGATCAGACTGAGGGACTATGCTAACATCTGCAATTTAAGACCTTCCTGTAAGTACATAAGACAGCATTGGAACGATACCTCGTGACATCCCTTAACATGGTCGCTGCTAACAAAATTAATGACGCAGTTCACGCACCAGGAGTCGACGCCGTAGACAGGTCCTGATAGATCTTTTTGGTCTTCTCTCTATACTGTTGGCAGCTGCTAGTACTAACGATAGCAGCAACCAAAGAAATCGTCATACGGGTCAAATAGTGACACTTAACCTATAGCATCATCCCGTTTATTTTCTCGTAGGATCACAGCGGTTCGCAATCTGGTGGTAATTGCACTCTCAGCAACTAATTCTGAGCTGTCATCAAACTCTCTCCGGCCGAGCCATAGCTCGTTCTCTCCACCTGGCTTAGCTAGAAAGGCTATGGAGCCAGTAAGGCCTTGAGCTTAAACTAAATTGCTATCACATCATTATTTTCCGTTTTATTGGTCTTGATAGCAGAGCTTATGAATGTCCTAATAATAAGTTACTATCGGAGCCCATGGTCAATACAACGTTGGCTCAACCAACCGTGTAGACGTAAAGTGCAGCATTTACCTTAACACCGGCGGTTCCTTAGCGCGTATAGTCTTTGTCAACAGCAGAAAAAGTACGCGTCATGACGCTCAGGGTATATCATTATGACCCTTGCGATCTGTTCCAGGTTTTTGGTGAAAGACCGTCACACCCAGTTCTCGCCGGCACAGAGAAGTCTATTGGTGATGCAGATATTATTAAGAGTTAGATATGACAATACTGAAACTAAGGTAAGCGTGAATTGGTGGTAAAACTTCCAGTCATGGGTAGGTTTGTCCCGGTTTGGGGCTGGACAACAGTGATGGGCAAAAAGTAATCAGATTAATAATTACAAATTACAGTTACATTGTAATTGGTAATTGAGATACTTTGTAACAGGTTACTTACGTAACTGATTACAGCGAGTACTTATTGTAATCAGTTATAAAGTAATTCGATTATAAGTTAATCTAATTACCTTAACTGTAACAGATTACTTATGTATTTGAAACAAGTTACTTATAATTACTGATAATTGATCACATAACTATTCTGTTATGTTATGTTAGGTAACCTTACAAAAAATGTCCTACTAATAACTTTTTTGACAAACACAAAAATGAAACACATTTTATATACTTTTTTTTATAATCTTTTATCATTTTACGTTATTTTCTTTAAATTAATCATTGGCAGATTAAATTAAACAACATTATTTTGCTGATTTATAATTTAAATTACTTTTAATATGACTCTTTTTTTCAAACATTTCGTCTGACAGGCGGTTGGTTGGCTTTCGGACAATTAATCATAGTAGCGTACGAAAACAAAAAAAAGTCGAAAAGAAAAAGCAAAGTCGTCCCCCACTCCGCTCACCTTCCTGTCTAGTTCACGATGAAGTGAACCTTACCTATTTATGTTTATTGAAGTACATAAAACCTACCTATCTAAAAAATCGATGTATGATATATATAAATATGTGTTTTTATTACAAGTGTTATATCCAAAGTAATTACGATTTACGATGTAATTGATTACTATGTAATTAGGTTAGATTGTAATTTAGTTATATTGCAATTAAATACATAGTATTCAATTACTTTCACATCAAAAGTAACTTTAATTACAATGTAACTGATTACTATATAATCAGATTACAGTGTAATTAAATTATTTTGTAGTTTAATTACTAATTAGATTACAAAAGTAACTAGTTACGCCCATCACTGCTGGACAACCGTGGTTGTACCATACAATTAAGACTTATGGCTGGTGGCGGCATATATTCCATGTTTATAGATTTGGGTGTCTATGCTTCGAGAACTCGGCATCCAGCAGCGTTTATCATCTTTGGTATAATCTCGTATCCTCACCTTTTTGGTGACTTATGTCATCGAGGCTATTGAGCGACTTGTGGTCCAAAAAAAGGTTAAGGGTACCAGGCCACGAGTTAGAGCGCCTATGTTTTGGACTGAACAGATAAAAGCGGCAGTAAATGATGATAAATAAAATGATGGCTTATCATCATTATACGAATACACGAGGAAGGCGGCCATTAGATGTTCCAAGTTCATTTCAATCAGGCACTCTCCCGTTTATGTTTCTGAACGATCTTGTATACCTTCCAGATGGGCATACGGAGGCTGCTGAACGACGGTACATATCTAGGATGCTTCCCCCTCCACGAGGGGAGGTACGACACTGACTCGGCCGACGGTACGGTCACCGATCGAAGAGTAAGTCTCATGCACCTATCAAAGGTCGAATCTGCGTTACAAAAGGAACTCTACAAAGCGTTTTTTGTCTCTTTCTCGCACGAATGAACGACCTCGCGGCTAACTTAAGTTAAGCCCATAGGCATCGCAACATGACGTCACATACCTTTACACTTGAGATAATTTTAATGGTGTGGTCGAATCTGATATTCGAAGTAAATCTGAAGCTTAAAAGATGGAACAATCGTTGTACAATATGATTGAGGCTTCGACCTCAAGGGTACACAGCATTCGCATTGCCGTGAGGTCGTTCACCTGTGTACGAATAAGAAACAGTTTTGTAACTTCTCGAATGTGTGAATATGAATTTTGACTTCCACGGTAAAGGAATAACATCGTGTAATAAAAATTCAACCCGCAAAATTATAATTTGCTTAATTACTAGTGGTAGGACCGCTTGTGAGTCCGCACGGGCAGGTACCACCGCCCTGCATATTTCTGCCGTGAAGCAGTAATGCGTGTTTCATTTTGAAGGGTGGGGCAGCCGTTGTAAGTATACTGAGACCTTAAAACTTTTATCTCAAGGTGGGTGGCGGCATTTACGTTAAAGCATCTAAGCAATTAAAAAAATGTCCACGCAATGACTTGTATTAGAGACGGTAGACATTAACTAAACTGCACGCAATGTATTAGGAAATCAACACAGGGTCAATGCTCCATGTTCACGCGGGTACACTGCCGGTTCACAAAACATCAGTCGGCAAACGGCAAAGCTTAGCAGATGCTTTTCCTTTAATAGTTTCATCTTTCAGTTGCTGTACTTAGAATGGGCCAGACCCTCGAAATGGTTCAAGAAGCAGCCCCTCTGGCTGGTCCGAAGATATTTCGGGGACAAAATTGGCCTGTACTTCTGCTGGTTGGGGTTCTACACGAAGATGCTGTACGCTCCGGCCATTGTCGGGACGCTGTGCTTCCTGTACGGACTGGCCAGCATGGAATCTGGTGATAACATTCCTAGGTAATCTTTGTTGGGTATGTGGATGAACAACGTCACAGTCTACGTTTACACATCTCAATTGGACCACGGCTGCCCCGCCCTTCAATCCGAAACGCATTAGTGCTTCACGGCGGAAATAGGCAGGGCGGTGGTACCTACCCGTGCGGGCTTACAAGCGAAGACCAGTAAAGAATCTATATTCTTTCCTAAGTCACGTCATTCCTTCTTCGTGGAATGGTCTTCGTGGGCCCGCGCTATCCTCAAAAACTAGTACCGAAGTTCATGTATCAGTTACCCGAATCATATCAGCGAGGGTACATTAGGTGTTTGGTCATAAAGTCTCCAGCATCGATTCTATATTCATTACACGATGTTGTCCTTTCGTGAGCTTTTGTTAAGTACGTATTTCATTAGAAAAAATGGTACCCGCCTGCGGGATTCAAACCCTGAGACAGGCGCGTCGCTCGATACGAATATACGTCTAGGCCTATATCCTTTAGGCCGTGAGAACTTCAGCTACCCTCACTACAGTAAATAAGGGGTTGTCGATTGCAGTAAGCTGATGTAACAAACAAACAACAAAGCCGACCCAGACGATCCGGCAACTCAGAGCCGCTGTCACCTTAAACATGTCACGTCGGCTCCCCCCGATCCACAATCGGTCCAAGGCCGATTTAGGCATTTCAAGCGCCGGTCATTATTCTCATTACCTAATGCACTCCCATCCGAGCCACAGACAACCTACTGAGTTTTGCCGGATCTTCTCAATGGGTCGCGATTTCGATCTGGTGGTAGAATCAGCGAAGCACTGCTCTATTAAGGCAAATGGTGACAATCCTCTCAGGTTGAGCCCCGTGAATTTTTACTGGTGGTAGAACCTCTTGTAAGTCCCCGCGGGTAGGTACCACTGCCCCGCCTATTTCTGCCGTGAAGCAGTAATACGTTTCGGTTTGAAGGGTGGGGCAGCCGTTGTAACTATACTGAGACCTTAGAACTTAGATCTCAAGATGGGTGGCGCATTTACGCTGTAGATGTCTATGTGCTCCAGTAACCACTTAACAGCAGGTGGGCTGTGAGCTCATCCACGCACCTAAGTGATAAAAAAAGAGTGTCTATCGGGCCGTTAAAGCTTGAATAGGTGTAGGGTAGGAAAAGTTGGTGTAATACTCGGATAAATTCAAATACTTTCTGTCGAATGCACTCGATGGCACTGTGACGTCATGATCACGTATACCATCGTCCATAATCTATAGTCAAATAAGCGTTGCATAACACCAGTCCGCCGTTTAAACTGTCAGCAAAGCGTTTTCTTCTGCTTTATTTTGCTTTTGACTAGTAATTCCCTTTTCAGTCAGGAGATATGCGACCTCAAGGGCCCTGGGAACACCACGCTGTGCCCTCTGTGTGACAAGGCCTGCAAATATCAGACCCTGGCCGATTCGTGTCTGTTCGCCAAACTCACTTACCTCTTCGATAATCCAGCGACAGTGTTCTTCGCGATATTCATGTCTTTTTGGGGTGAGTTTTATTTTTAAATATACCTTCTCTTCTAAGCAGATGAGCTTACAGCCCACGCGACGGTGAATGGTTATCGTGGCTTATGGACCGCAGCAATGCCAGAAGCACAGTCAGGCCGCTGCCAGTGGTATGCTCGTCTGCCCCCAAGGGCAATAAAAAAGAAAAAGTCGTAAATTCGACGATATTTTGAAAGCGCCTATAAACGTGTGGGCAGAACACCAGTCAGATGGTCAAATCTGGTTAAGGAAGTGGTTGGTAGTCTATACCATGCGGTCCATGCCACCCATGATCGAACACGGTGGAGGAAACTCACATGTGGTCGCGATCCTCAGCAGTGAGGGAACGATGAAGAAGAATAACCATCTTTTAGAAGAATCGTCTACAGTATGCGACTAGGCTGTGCCTCTAGTTTTGCTGATATCCATGGACGATGATAACTAATTCCCACCAGACGGCTTAAGTGGTCACCTGGCTACATTAATAATTTTACGCGCTGGGGTTCGAAATAAATAAAATTCCACCAAAGTACAACTAAAAACTGTATTCAACACTTAGAACACTTTAAATTGCTCAATTCGCTTCTTCAGCTTCCCTTCAGATGATCCGTTCGCTGTTTCGCTTGGAGTAGTTCCGATGGACTGCTGCATGCCATCTCTGCAATGCTTTTATAGCCGACACCACATCCCTAGAATTATCGAGAATATTCCACACATCTCTAGTATTGTGTTTCCGCTATCTGACAATAGATGGCGTTGTTCTTCTCGAGCGCTGTAGGTGCTACTAGATCCTTCGATATTCGTGTGACTATTCGGCGATAGATGGCGTTACTCTTACCGGCATAACAGTAATAAAAAGCCTACTAGATGGATTAAAAATAGCATTTATTGTATTCGCTTATGTATTATTTAGCCACAACATTTCTGGAGCTCTGGAAGAGGAAGCAGTCCGTGCTGAGATGGGAGTGGGACTTGGGTGGCGTCGACTATGTACGTTTGTTTCGACTTTAATAACCGGTAACAAATCAAGGGACGCAAATTAGGATTTGTAATGGGTATCAGAGACTGACACACATACATACTTATATACGTTTAAATTCATATATAGATAATAAACACCCAGATACAGAGCAAACAAACCTGTTCATCACAATAATGTTTGCCCGATGCGGGAATCGAACCCCTGTTATGCATCTATCAGGACCGCTAGCTACTGTACCACAGAGTCAGTCAAACAACAACAACATTGATATTATTGATGATATTGATGATATTATTCATAGACTAATCATCCCCTATGGGTATTCCTCAAACTATTTTCATTTCTGTCCTATTACGCATCGAAAATGCACCATCATATGTCACGTGGATCGTGAGTTCTGACCCTTCAGACTTTCGCAAAAGTGTAAAATGCATGACCCGCTTAATCCAGGACGAGGACCCTCGGCCAGAGTTCGAAACCTCAGCGAAGACATTCCGCACCAACCCTGTGACCAGGGAGAAGGAGCCTTATCTACCAGTCTGGCAGAAGACCATGAGATACATCGCGACGAGCAGCGCAGTTTTGTTCATGGTAAAGGATTTTTTGGTGCTCACAAGAACCATGACAGGGACATGGTCTAAGCTGTTCAGAGAGAGAGAAAGAGGGCGAGTTAGACAGGGAAAGGAAAAGGGTATAGAGAAAGAAGGAGAAAGGGTATATCGCTTACATCCAAACACCCAATTTACGAAGCCCATAGTTTACTTGTACACCTCTTAATCAAATAGAGTTTATCTATACTACCTGGAGCCACTGCGTTCATCCGCAGTGCGTTTCCAGAGATGCTTTTTACCACGTACCATCCGGCTTTGGAATGAGCTCCCCTCCACGGTGTTTCCCGAGCGCTATGACATGGCCTTTTTCAAATGAAGCTTAGTGGAGAGTAGGCAGCGACTTGGCATTGCTGACGTCGATGAAAGACGGTAATCACTCACCATCAGTTGGGCTGTATGCTCGTCTGCCTACAAGGGCAATAAAGAAAGACAAAAGACAAAAGCTTTCATATCGAATTCCAAAAAAAGATACGGTAGGTGTGCCTATATATTCTAATAGATCTATCAAAGTAGTAAAAACCTAGAAATTAAATAGAAAATTGATAGATTGAAGGGATCTTAATGTGGAATCTTTGGGACAGATCGCGATCGTGATGGGAGCGGTCCTCGGGACCATCATCTACAGGATCTCCATGGTGTCAGTCATCTACGGTGGCTCGGGGTTCTTCATACAGCGGCATGCGAAGATCTTCACCGCCATGACAGCAGCCCTGATCAATTTAATCATCATCATGATTCTGACCAGGGTACGTAAAATTCGCCTGCCTTCGGGTACCAGTATTAAGATGATTTACACTATGTTTATTTAATTTTGTCTGTCAGGATATCCACCAGAATCCAATCAGACTTGAGGTCGAAGCCTCAACTTATATTGCTTAGATGGGTGGACGAGCCCACAACTCACCTGGCGTTTACAGAGCCTATGGGAACCTACAAAGTAAATGCCACCACCCACCTTGAGATATGAGTTCTAAGGTCTCAGTACAGCATAACGGCTGTCCCATTCTTCAAGCCGAAACGCATCCCGGCAGAAATAGACAGGGTGGTGGTACCTACTCGGGCGGACTCACGGGACATCCAGCAGTAAAAACAGTTAGTCCTGTCTTAACCTTCATCCTCTTACAGATATACGCCAAGGTGGCGGTCTACCTGACGAACATGGAGAACCCTCGCACCCAAACGGAATACGAAGACTCGTACACCTTCAAAATATTTTTCTTTGAGTTCATGAACTTTTACTCTTCTTTGATTTACATTGCGTTCTTTAAGGTGAGTGGATATTTTCGTTGTAATAAACTTAACTTTTTTTTTCCTGCCTAAGCTGATAGCCTTGAGTGGCTATTTCAGCGTGACCTTAACTAGCAGGTGAGCTCACGGGGCTCAAACCTGGCGACGTTGCTAACACGAACCCTAGCAAGAGCCGCGCTTCGCAAAATCTACCACCGGATCGGAAACGTGATCAACTGAGAAGATCCGGTGAGAAACTCAGTGGGCTATGTCTGCGGATTAATTTACTCGCCGAGCCCTCCTTCGTCGCAAGCGACGGGTTCGACGAGAACGATGACCGGTGCTTGAGGTTCCTAAAAGCACCGTTAGTGGATCGGGAGGATCCGAAATGACGTGTCCAAGGCGACGTCGACTGCTTTCCATTCTGTCCGCAGGATCGGGAATGTAGTTACCGGCGGCCTCGATGAGAGGGTTCTCGTGTCGTGCCGCTTTGTTGAAATGGCGCATTGATGCCGACAACAGATACTTACTAATGGACTCTAGGTCCAGGTTGTCATGCAAGTCGACGTTCCTGACGAACCACGGGGCTTCGACTGCTATCCTGCAAAAACGGGATTGAATAATTTGAAGTGATTTTAAGTTAGTGCGGGCCGCGTGGGCGAACACCACACTTGCATAGGTCATGACGGGGCGTATGCAAGTTTTGTAGAGTGTCACCTTATTAATTCTAAGGGACAATTTACTTCGGTTGCAAATCATCGGATAGAGGCGTCCTAGTATGAAGGCAGCACGGTCGCGTACCGTCTTTAAGTGAGGGCGGAATGTCATCCTTCTGTCGAGGGTGACGCCTAAGTATTTGACCTTCGGGGCCCACGATATGGGTTGGTCGTACATCATGATTGGCGAATGGCGGAGGCGGAGGTGTTAACGCGCCTAGTGGGAAGTGTAAACTTAACCAGAATTGTATGTTAATAAAATATACACGGTTTAGCGGTAGGCAGTGGCTTGGCTCTGCCCCTGGCATTGCTGAAGTCCATGGGCGACGGTAACCACTCACTCTCATCAGGTGGGCCGTATGCTCGTCTGTCTATAAGGGCAATAAAAATAAAAAAAACACGATCCGTTACTTTATCAGTTTTATAACTAACTTCGATTTAGGTCACCAGTGATTAAGGGCCAATTTCGATTGTTAGGCTAGTTAAGTTTGAAGAGAAGAGACATAAAAACCATAGTATGATAGATGCCATATGTAGTAGACGATATCAATTTATTTAAAACGTAAGCTTTTAGTTTTTAGTAATGATAGGGGAGATTTATAACCTAGTCAGAGACCGACATTCCGAATCTTTCAATTCGTAACTTGCACATATGCCAAGTTATCTTGAAAATGTCGTTAGCGCGATTCAGGAATCCTTAAAATATCTTATGTTCTATTATGACTACGGCTACAACTTTACGTGAACTTTACATGGAGGTGCCATTTTGAAGCCAAGACTTATGCCAATGTAATGTGAACGCGTATGCGAACCTAATCTATTAGCATAGCTGTCCAACCTTCTACCTTTCTATCCCTTAAACAAGTGAACGATCTTACGGGCCACTTGATATTAAGTGATTAACGAAGTCCATGGACATCAATAACGTAAACGCCCCACCCACCTTGAGACATGAGTTCTGCATCTCAGTTCTATAGTACAACGGCTGCCCTACCCTTCAAGCCGAAACGCGTAACTGCTTCTGGGGGGTGGCTTCCCCAAATTCAAAGGCCAACGTTCTAGGGTCGTTTCTACGACTACCCCGGAGACGACCAGGCCAGGAAGTCGGAGTTCTTCAAGCTAAAAGGCGACATCTGCGATCCGGCCGGCTGTCTCTCCGAGCTGTGCATACAGCTAGCTATCATTATGATTGGGAAGCAATTCTTCAACAACTTCTTGGAACTGGGATTCCCGTAAGTATGTGAGTGTTCTGTGATCGTCCCAGCAAATACACACACACATACCCACACAAACACACACTGACAGATACTTAAACAAAGTGAAGGAGTCACAAGCATCTGCTCATAATCTATGCATCAGCTCGCTGAGTTTGTCGCCGGATCTTCTCAGCGGGTCGCGATTCCGATCCGGTAGTAGATTCATTCGCGAAGCAGCTGCTCTTGAGTTGTTATGTTTCCTTCGGAGGCGCTCGGGCAGCTGTTAGCAAATCCCACCCCTTCTGGCTGAGCCTTTGCTCGCCCACCTGTCCTGGTGAAACTGGAAAGGCCTCCGGGCTACCCGTAAAGCTTCAAACATAAAAAAATTTAAAAATTATACGCTACTATACTGAGACCTTAGAACTTATATCTTAAGGTGGGTGGCGCATTTACGTTGTAGGTGTCTATGGGCTCCAGTAACAACTTATCAACAGGTGCACTGTGAGCTCGTCCACCCATCTAAGCAATAAAAAAAAGCAAAGTCGATCAAGCTTTCACCGGACTTAAGAGATTGCAGCCTTTTGTCTTCTATTAACCGGTTATCCTCTTTATATTTCGTCTATTTAATGTAGCATGTGGTTATACAACACAATCTGGACTGAGACCTCATGTCTCAAGCTGAATCGGCCTATCGCGACCTCACTGCAATTAATCTTCCTTCACCCAAAATAACTAAGCAGCATATAGACAAAGGCAGCGGGGGTAGGCCTCCCACAAGATGGGCCGACGATCTATTGAGGTTCGCGGGGATCCGCTGGATGCAGGCAGCGCAGAACCGGTCTTTGTGGCGAGGCTTGGGGGAGGCCTATGTCCAGCAGTGGACGTCTATGGGCTGATAAGAAGTATGGTTACTTCACTCTCTGAATCCCCTCCAGCAAGTTCCACAATTGGTGGCGTCGTCGCTCGCACCGGGCCGTGACCAGGGACCCCAGCAAGCCGCACATGGCGTGGGAACAGGACTACCACCTCCAGGACCCCGGGAGGCTGGCCTTGTTTGATGAATACCTAGAAATGAGTGAGTTGAATTTTATTAATCCATCAATACGATTGATATGGTTCGTTAAGAACTTCGGAGATTCTGTTGGAGCTTTAGACATAACTGTAAGTGTCTGTTGTGACGTTGACAAGATGACGAACATATGAGGTCCTATCGACTTGGCAATTTCTTACAGTGCATTGAGAAAAATGAAAACATACAAATTTTCTTCTTTGTAGGGTAGGATTGTGTTACCCATCAATAGGGGCTTATAATACATTGCGCTGTAACAATACTCAGTGTACAATGCTGTCCATTCTCCAGTGAATCCATTAGTCTCCTCACGACATCCACGGGAATATATACAGGTGGTAGGACCTCGCGTGAGTCCGCACAGGGAGGTACCACCATCCTGCCTATTTCTGCCATGAAACAGTAATGTATTTCGGTTTCGGTACTATTAAAACTGAGGACTTAAACTCATGTCTCTTAAGTGGATGGCGGCATTAACGTGGTCTTGATATCTATGGTCTCCGGTGACCACTTAACACCAGGTGGGCCGTGGTTAAAAAAAATCTGTGAACCGTCAAGACGCATACCCCACATGCCCCCTAGGCGCGGACAACCCTATGATGCTCGACCTCCTAGCCCCCCATCCTAACGTATAAGTAATTACTATTTGCAGTCCTCCAATACGGTTTCGTGACGTTATTTGTGGCCGCCTTCCCGCTGGCCCCACTGTTCGCATTGCTCAACAACATAGCCGAGATCAGACTGGACGCGTACAAAATGGTGACACAGGCGAGGCGACCTCTAGCGGAGAGGGTCGAGGACATCGGAGCCTGGTGAGGAATCATACGTTCAAACAAAACGGATATAGCTCAAAACAGCTGACTAGTACTCCCCCTCACAGTGAGCTCACGGGCTCAACCTAAGAGTTGTGTAACACTGACTCTAGCAAGAGCAGTCGACGTCGCCCAAAACACGTCATTACGGATCCTTCTGATCCATTAACGGTGTTTTTAGGTACCACAAGCACTAGGTACCACAAGCACCGGTCACCGCCCTCGTCGAACCCGTCGACGAGCGAATTAACCCACAGACACAGCCCACTAAGTTTCTCGCTGGATCTTCTCGGTCGGTCGCGTTTCCAATGCGGTGGTTAATTCTGCGAAGCACTGCTCTAGCTAGGGCCAGTGTGCACCACTCCGGTTTGAGCCCCGTGAGCTCACCTACATGTTAGGGCGAAGCTGAAATAGCCTCTCAAGGCTATCAGCATAATATGTGGGAAAAAAGCAAGAGCAGTGCTTCGCTGAATCTACTACCGGATCGGAATCGCCACCCATTGGGGTGAAATTCAGTGGGCAGTAGAGTTTTTACTGGTGGTAAAATGTCTTTTGAGTCCACACTGGTACCACCCTGCCTATTTCTGCCGTGAAGCAGTAATACGTTTCGGTTTGAAGGGTGGGGCAGCCGTTGTACTAAACTGAGACCTTAGAACTCATATCTCAAGGTGGGTGGCGGCATTTACGTTGTGGAACTCTGTGGGCCCCGGTGATCACTGAACATCAGGTGGACCGTGAGCTCATCCACCCTTCTATGCAAAAGAAATGATATGTTTGTTTAAGTGGGGAACGATTTGAAAAAGTGTGTAGTAATTTATGGCGCTATTTTTTAAATCTTTTCATTTGCTACTGTGGCGCCACCTTAATTGGCTCTCTGTGCTCGTCCTTATCAGTTGATAAACAACAAGTAAATCATTTAGTCGCTTTCAGACTACGCTATAATATTGTTACGCGCTGGGGTTCGGGATAAATAAAATTTCACCAAAGTACAACTTAAAACTGTATTCAACACTTAGAACACTTAAGCACTTCACAAACACTTTAAAACTCTCAATTCGCTTGTTCCGCTTCGCTTCAGGTGATCCGTTCGCTGTTTCGCTTCGAGTAGTTCCGATTACTGACTGACTGCGTGCCATCTCTACATCGCTTTTATAGCCTCATCCCTAGAGTTATCGAGAATATTCCACACATCTCTAGTAGTCGTTTCCGCTATCTGTCAATAGATGGCGTTACTCTTAGCGTAGCGTAGCAATATAATAGCATATAGTGTATAGCATTATCGCGCACCATACATTGTTATGGACACATTCACACTGTACTATACTATATATTATTGGTATAGGCTGCAATACTATATAGCAATATAGTATAGCGTAGTCTGAAAGCAGCTTCACTTGAGGTCCTTTTAAACGAGACAGAGCATATGGCCAAACTGATGATCATATATTTCAGGTACGGGATATTGCGTGGGATAACGTATGCGGCGGTCGTCTCAAATGTGAGTCAATTGAAGTTGTTTGTCGGGACGAGAGGATCTTATCTACTTCATAGCTCTCACCGCTAAGTGCTCTGATCAATTTTGTAAAGGTTTTCTTCGGTCTCCTTCTTTTTTTCATCATTGCCCTTGTAAGCTGATGAGCATACGGCCTGATGGTGAGTGGTTATCGTCACCCATGACGTCAGCAATGCCAGAAGCAGAGCCAAGCCGCTGCCTTACAAAGGTCTTCGCAAGGCATAGAGTCAAATGTGATTTTACAGACAAATCTGACGCTTGTATTATCCTCACATTACTTTCCAACGTATCTCGTATATGAATAATAAATGCGTGATTTATTAATCGTAATATTAGCCGACTTAACCTAATAGGTGTAAGGGGCCATCCATAAAGTACGTCACACGAATTTTAGGACTTTTGAACCCCTCCCCCCCTCCTTGTCACAGGTTGTCACATTTTTATAACCCCCCCCCTCCTGATGTGACGTCACACATTTTTTAAATTTATGTATGTATTTAAAAATAATCGAGAGAAAACAGCTATTTTCATTTTTTACTTATTTTTATTAAATAATAATCTAATAAAATCAACATAAAGTCCAACATTTCATAAAACCGAAAAAACAAACGACTAGTTAGAAAATAATAAACGATTAATTATATTAATTAAAGATAAAAAACTTAATTATCGAGTGTCCATGGACTTTGGATCCACTCTTTTATATCAGCTATTACTGGTAAATCAGGCACTTCATTTTCGTTCTGAATTTGAACGTCAGGAACATCCTAATTTGAGTGTCTCACTTGCATTACAACGCCGCTCTAGAAGTTAAATGACGTTGCATGAGAGATTATCGCATAGCGAGAATGCTAAATTATTAATAAATATAGATCAAGTTTGTAAATTTTTAAAATTTTTAATTCACATACAAACTTTGCGTTTTAGTATTTTAAATTTTAACATGTGACGTCACAAAAGTATTGACCCCCCCATGCCCCTTGTCACACGATGTCACACTTCGGTGATACCCCCCCTCCCCATTAACGTGTGACGTACTTTATGGATGGCCCCTAAGGCTCTAATAAAGAATTAAAAAAAAAAAACCTAATATAAATTTTAATTTCATAAGGATATCTAAGAGTTGTCAGGACTGAGAAGTCACATATTAGCCTTAACGTGTTTAAGTGGATAAAATGCACAAAAATGAAAGCAACACATAATTGATTATGATACTTTTCTCAATAGGCGTTCGTGATAGCGTACACAAGTGATTTCATTCCGCGTATGGTCTACAAATACGTCTATTCCCCGGACAACACTCTAGCAGGATACATAGACCATTCGTTGTCTCGTAAGTAATAAGCTATTTCCGTCTGTGAAGTTTACTACTAAATTTTAAAGTCTATTTTAACATCAACACCTATCAATAATATTTTCGCAGTGTTCAACACATCAGATTACCGGGAAGACTGGGGGGCTGACGAGAACGAAGTTGACCCCCCGGTGTGTGCGTACCGCGGGTACCGGAATCCGCCAGACCACGCAGACCCCTACGGTCTGTCTCCGCACTACTGGCACGTGTTCGCGGCAAGACTGGCCTTCGTCGTCGTATTCGAGGTAAGCGCCATCTATTGATCGGGGACGGGAACGAGAACGTGTTTTAGTTTAACGCCATCTTTTGGCTTGTATCGTGCAATGTTGGAATATTGGATCGCTCGGGCGTCATCGGACGCGATCGGAATTCCCGAACGGGCAGGTGTCCCGTGACGTCAGTACAACAAAATTCGCGCGACGATTTAAGTTCAATATAAAATCGAAATTTTAGTTTAGATTTGATTTGATTTGATTTGATCTGAATACCTTGACATTCATTTTCCAGCATGTTGTATTCGGTCTAACGGGCCTAATGCAGCTGTTTATACCCGATTTGCCGAGCGAACTGCGGATACAGATGCAAAGGGAAGCGCTGCTAGCTAAGGAAGCGAAATATGAGCACGGCAGAAGAAGATTGTCTACCGAATACAGACAGCTGATCACGCAGAAGAGCGACAGCAGCGGAGGTGACTTATATCTTATACTTATATATTTTAGTAGTACTTTTTTTCTCTACCTATGCGTTGGCAATCCAAAAGATTATTCCAGCTAGGAAATAATTGGTATGTGATCCCACGGGGCTCAACCTGAGAGAGTTGATACCACTGGACCTAACAAGAGAAGTGCTTCGCAGATTCTACCACCAAAGGATAAGACGTCCGGTGCATTCGTATGTAGCGATGCACCGGTGTTCGAATCCCGCAGACGGGTACCGATTTTTCTAATGAAATACGTACTTAACAAATGTTCACGATTAACTTCCACGGTGAAGGAATAACATGGTGTTTTAAAAATCAAACCCGCAAAATTATAATTTGCGTAATCACTGGCGGTAGGACCTTTTGTGAGTCCGCGCGTGTAGGTACCACCGCTCTGCCTATTTCTGACGTGAGGCAGTAATGCATTTCGGTTTGAAGGGTGGGGCAGCCGTTGTAAGTATACTGAGACCTTAGAACTTATATCTCAAGGCGGGTGGCGCATTTACGTTATAGATGTCTATGGGCTCCAGTAACCACTTAACACCAGGTGGGCTATGAGCACGTCCACCCACATAAGCAATAAATAAAAAATCGCGACCCACTGAAAACATCCGGCGAGAAACTCAGTATTTTTTATTTGCATCATAAAACTATCCTATTCCATCTCAATGATTCGGCGACTATTACTATATTGAATAGCGGTACTAACCTGATCGTTACAGAGCAAACAATATCGCCGTCTGTTATTGAATAGCGGTACTAAACCGATTGTTACAGACCAAACAATATCGCCATCTGCTATTGAATAGCGGTACTAAGTTGATTGTTACAGAGCGAACAATATCGCCATCTGTTATTGAATAGCGGTACTAAATTGATTGTTACAGAGCGCCCCGCTGGTCCGTGGCTGCGTCGGACCTCCCGGGCCTCGGACGGGCTGGACGCGCACGTTGCCGTCGCCCAGAAACCTTCTTCTCCACAAATAACGCACTGACATCAGACGAAACGCCATTAGATTCAAATACTTTTATTTCTTAGTTGGAAACCGCTGAAAATACGTTAAGATTATTTAAAACATTAATTTCGTCTTCTCGCATTAAAACTGTACTAGTGGTCCCGCGGTAGTCGAAATTCGACTATAATTAATTGAAATTATAAGTTTGAACATTATTATGATTCTATTGTCAAATTATATAATCATTTCGCCAAGAACTTTAGGCAAATATTAATAAAAACAAACAATATTTAATCTATTCTCAATTTGACCAGAGACTATGCAATAAGTAAAGTTTGACAAAATACAAACAATGTGGCTGCGTGTGTGTGTCAAATACATGGTAATGTGTGTAATGTTTTTTTTATTGATTTATTGTATTTCTAATGCATAATTTTTTAAAAAAATTAGCATTGTGCACTTCTTCTCTATATTCTATATAAGTGTGGGAAATTTTATGCTACTCCGTCCGCGCAATTTTCGTAAAAACGGGTACAAAGTTTTTACTTCACGTATTATTTATTTATATATATAATCTCAAAACTTACTAATTTTACAGGAGAGTGTTTTAAAGGTTTTTTTAACATATTGTGATATTTTTAATATTAATCATCTTTGCAACATTTTTGTTTACCAGCTATGTACGTTATCTGTCTTTTAAAGTAAGATAAAATTATGTATTAATTTTGTTTAATGTGTAAAATAGTAGTCAAAACATAGGTAAACTAAAAAAAAAAAAACTAAACTACGCTCTTTTGACAGTATTTATGAGAAAAATACTGGTGATACGAAATGATTCCGCATATTAACTCAATTTCAAATATTTTTGGAAATTGTACACTTTTAATGCGAAAAGGCTAATTATGTAAAGGCATAAGAGGTACATAATTGAAGATTTGATGCATATTATTTAGTGATACGTATTTAATGTATATAATGAACTAATTATATGGAGGATGATGACACAATGATGACGAAAGATTTATTTAATGACCAACAAAAACATACGTACCGGATGGCGAGTGGCTACTGATGCTCATGGACATCAGCGAAATTCGCAAATATTAATTTCATAATTACATCGAAAGTATTATTTTTCGATGTCTTGAAAATCGGAAAATTGCATCGTGAAACGAGTTAAATAAGGTGTATTATTGATTACTATAGCTTAATTATTTAAGGACCTTTATTTAGTTATTACTCGGTTAGTTATTACTCAGTTGACTTTAAAAATATAAATACTAGTTATATTTTTATCACAACGAAAAGCTACATAGTTTTTCAAACAAAAAAAATATTTATAATTGTGGGATGGATTCATAATGTAATTCATAATGGATTCAATTACTGTCTTTTAAATAAGTATAAATGGAGGATTTGATAATTAATTTAACCTTTTGCGCTTGAGAGTATCGCTCACCACACGATTTAATTACAAACGACAAAAATATCGTTAAGAACGCATATCAAAAACATAAACAAGATGTATTTTTTTCCTACCTATGCTGATATCCCTGTGAGGCTATTTCAGCTTCTCCTTAACGTATAGATGAGCTCACGGGGCTCTAACCGGGAGCGTTGCTAACACTGGCTCTAGCAAGAGCAGTGCCTCGCAGAATCTACCACCGGGTCGGAAACGCGATCAACTGAGAAGATCCGTCGAGAAACTCAGTGGGCTGTGTCTGCGGGTTAGTAAATTAACCCTGTCGAGCTCTTCGTCGCAAGCGAAGGGTTCGACAAGGACAGTGACCGGTGCTTGCGGTACCTAAGAGCGCCGTTAATGGATCGGAAGGATCCATAATGACGTGTTTAAGGCACAAGATGTCAATCATCAAACAAAGTAAGATAAATAGCTTACACAACACAGCGCATCAAATTTCCCCGCACTAAGCAAAGTGGTGAGAGAATCATCTCTCGAGTTGAGGCATTGGATAATGTGGTTAGCAAAACTAGCCTTCGAGTGCAAAACGTTAGATTGAAAGTGACTATGATAAGACACCTTAAAATAATAATTTAAGTTTACTATAAATACGCCAATACACGCTTTGTTAGGATGCGAATTAAAAATTAAAGATTTATTTTATCATTAACTAATCAAATCTCTTTAAGTTGTGGAAAATTCTCACGAAAGATTCCCTTATTTAACACAGTTCGAGCTAAGCAAAGCGTGTTGATAGCGAAACAGATGCGGCCCTGATTTTAATCAGAGGCGGCACCATCTGTTGTTCACTAGTTAAAACTAAAATTTACTTATATTTGATAGAGATGGCGCGAGGGACCACTAAAGTGTTAAGATAAATATGAATTTAATAACGACATTATGATTATTAAGTGTTTACTAATAATAGCTAATTCTCTTTAACTCCACTTATTAAGAAATTTTATTATGAGACAGTCAGTTTTTGAAGACAAATACAAAAGGCAAAAAAACACCCGTGAAAGATAAAGATAGATCTGTAATGACTTCTAACTTGTTTAATAAATGTGTGTGATGTTTTAAAGATTTTAAACAAGATTAGACGTCGTACTAGTATCGGGAGAGGCGACCGCGTGGGATTCGAATCCGCTGACTCTTACTTTTCTATGAAATACTTGGGATCATGCTCCTGCCTATTTCGGCCGTAAAGCAGCAATGCGTTTGGTTCGAAGGGTGGGGGAACCGTTGTACTGTAAAAACTGAGACATTAGAACTCATATCTCAAGGTGGCTGGCGGGATTTACGCTGTATATGTCCACGGGCTCCGGTAACTGCTTAACACCAGGCAGGCCGTAAGCCCAACTAAGCAATTTAAAAAAAATACTCACGAATGAGTTCCGCGATTTGAGTACAGTATCGTGTAATAAAAACTGTGTGGTCATGCTAACTGATACAGCGTCATAAAAATCAAATTAAACCACATCTCGGAATGGACTGCATACACTATGAAAAGTCAATCAAGTCGGATGATTTGATAGCATTCAAAAAATAACAATTTGTTGTTCGTAAAGTCGGTTTGCAGACGATAGTTTTACGTAATAATGTCAGCAGAACTATTTGAACTACTAGCTCTGACGTCACGCGGGAAGAGAGATAAACGCGTCACAAGCCAACGCTTGGGCCGATCGTGTCTCTCTATCGCTTGTTCCGCGCTCTCGCTTGCACGCTCAGGCGGAACGTGACACTTTTACGTGCGTCCAGCCGGTGTTCATCCATTTACAAGACGTTATCACGTCAAAAACTTAATGCTACAACAAAGCATTTATCTCTTGTACTTACCTCTAACAAACACCCCTTATTAACGAAAATAACAGTTACTAATCACGTATTGACTCAATACAAAAAAAACGTGTCCAATACGAAATGTGATATTAGATTATCGTTACGTTAATATTTGATATTAAATGAATCGGCTGTTTATTGAGAATTGCGAAAAAGCTTTCCGTCTCCCTCGAACTGAATAGAGCGTGAAAAGGACAGACGTAATTCGGATTGCGAATATCAAACCGAGGGATAAAAAGCTATTTGATTTAAGCTATATTTTTGAAATTTTACAGTAGAGCCATTTAAAGTTTGAATTTTGGAAAAAATATCATAACGAAAAAAAATTCTACACCTACACTACATTTATTTGAAGTTCAATTAAAAACATCGAACTGTTGATGCTGATACGAACTAAAACTGACCTCTAATTACAAAGATAAATGGCGCATGTTAGCGAAATATCGCATAAGCCGAATAGCCTTTCATCCAATTTAACCTTGAAAATAGTATTAATTAAGTCATTAAGTACCGTAGTTTGGGGGGAATCGGGACCCTTTCCAAATCCAACACGAATTTGCAATGGTTTTTCTTACTTTAATGAAATTGAGTTTAAAATGGTTCCGGAGGCTTAAATTTTTATATACGATGCGTTACTATACATGGTTAATTACAAAATATACACAAAGACTGAAAAAAACTAGCTTGACCCGATTCACCTTGGCTTTGGGGTGAATCAGGTTACGTATGGGGACAATAGAGTTTTTCGATAGGGCTGACACTATTTAGTTGTTAGGTAGGTACCTAATTTTAGGTTATTAACTTTTTAATATCTTTAATGAGTTACAAAACTTTGATGACTAAATTAAACAATTTTATATTCTTAAACACCAAACAAAAGTAATTTTCAGTTCAACAAAGTTAAATCTAACAACTCAACAAAAGTATTGTGACATCTCAGATTTGTCCCTCTAACTAACTCTAGTCTCTATTCCCCCCAATCTACTGTACTTAACTTGTATTGACAACTGTAACATTGACAACTATGAAATGCATTGCTTGCATTATGGAGGGTAGAGGTAAGGAGAACCGTCTCTGGGTGTGAGAAAGTGTCCGTTAAAATCTGCTAAATAAGGGTGGCGCTACAGTAGCAACCGGGTAAATTTAAAAAAGGCACTGAAAGCTATTAGAATAAGATAGAGAAATAAAAAGGACGAAAGAACTGTAAACACTACAAAATCACAAAAAGTATTTTATTTAAAGCTGATAAGAAAATGCAATCGATGTCTCCACGTTTTACTACAACAATAATTTTAGGTTATATTGACGAAATTAGTTTGGACTATGTAAACATGTGAGGTCTTGTATATTACGCTGTCACTAACTACTCTAGTCATTAAATATATTAAATTTCTTAAATCAGCATACTTCAATCAGTTAACAACTACTCAATTCATATCATATCCTGTGCCGATGCTAGCGCCATTCTGGAGGATTTTTGAACTGTTATTTAGTGCTGAAAGTGGGGCACTTTTTCAAGCTTCTCCCATATGAGACGGTTCTCCTTACTTCTTCCCTCCATAGCTTACATCATTCCACGTGCGTTGAAATTAACGTCAGACGCATACTGTCGACCCGGATCCGTAAAGTTTCTGACGCCGTAAATAATGAATCCCTGAACGACTGCCGCAATAACGGAAACAAAAACTACATTGAAAATTAAATCCGCGTAATTAATTATACATGTATAATGGTTATAGTTACCATATATCGAAGACCTACTCCTCAATCTATTGGAGATCTACTCCTCCTTATATCTGGAGCTGATTTCGGCCACGTAACATACAATCAATCTATACATATAAATAAAATTGCATACATGCATATGAATGTATATATATATATATGTTACATAAACCAAAATA